ATGGTTGTCTATCTTACTATCAAGGCAAAAAAACAAGAGTTCTGCCCATTCCTCAATGGAAACCTTAGTTAGTACTAAAGTTTTTTCGTAAAATTTTGATGTTTTTAACATAGGCAATACTTAGATTACTTTCGTATATCTTCTTAGAATAGCAATAAACAGAGTAGAAACTTGTGTGGTCGCAGTTGGTCGTAAAAGCAAAGATAGAAAAGGCAAAATGATGATTGTCAAAGCAGAAAATGGTTACAATCTTATTAGATCTACTAGTCATTTTATTGTTTTGAAACTTGAACGGTCGAATAAATGGTTTATAAGAATATCTCTTAAAGAAGCCTTTCTCTTCAATGTTTATTGGTTAAAATCGCTGGAATTTTGTCGTTTTTTTTGGTTTTGAAGATCAAAGCTTATTAGCTTCAGATGTTATAATATCTGTTTATCTACAGTACTTAGCTGAAATCTGCATAAACTGATTGTTCAACTGATAAGTAAAACGTTCTGTGGTGTGTTATCAAAGTATCTATAAGTTTCCATTTAGAAGTTTCAGAAAGCGTAGAAAAAGCCACAGACTGAAAAACATATTACAGCAAATTTTACTTTTCAGGTACGTGTTACATTTACTTTGCGTCAACCAAAAAAGCATCTGTACTCATAGACAAGGCCGTGATTACGTTTTGTCTGATGATCTAATAATGACGTTTCCTCGAATATGAAAAAGAAGAGCGATGCCCAAAGGAAACAAGGAGATAATTTCAAAGCAATGGAAGCCATTAAAATTATGCTAACAACATCAAAATTCTTACCTTTTTTGATGCCGAATTTCTTGTCTTTCTATTTTGAAAACTTATTTATTGAAGGTACAGAAAAGCTAGCTTTTCGCTAGGTCGGACTTGTTCTACAATGAGTGCTAAAATAATTGCCGAGTAACACAGTTTAGCCAAGAAGTAGTATATCTAAGTCAATTTGGAGTATATTTTATGCTTTTGAAATTGTCGATAAAGCTGTAAAAATGAGCATAGTTTTTGATGTTCCAAAAAAGTATCAAGTTTTTTTTATCTAGGAAATAATAGAAGTCTGAATAATTCAAAAAAAAGCAAGAGATGTCAGTAAGTAAAGCGCACAGAAGTGGTATGAAACGCTATAAAAGACCTATCTTAAAAGTAAGTTTTTAAATGTTTATTTGTAAACTGATTAATAGGGAATAAAATACCTAAAATTTACAGCTGATTAGTTTTGAAAAGTGAATTATTTGAGTTCTGATTGTAAAAAAGTTTCTTTTTTTTCCGCATAATGTTTTTGAAACGTTAATAGGTTTAAAAATGATTTCGTCATCCTTGTTGAACTGTGATTAGTCAACAATTAGACTAGATAATATCTTACGTAAGATTAATTACAATAAATTATCAAGAAGTCAAAAGTTCCCATGGCGAACGACATTCATTAAGCTTTAATGACTTAATACCACAGTAATTATATTTTTCACAAACAAATTTATATAGTTTTCAGAAGTGATTTAAAATGATTTAAAAGTAAGATATACACGTAAGACCAATTAAGAAAGTCTGTAATTAAAGAGAAGTGATAAAAAAAATATGATAAATAAAAAACTGCACTTATTGCACTTAATTATACTGGTAAATTACATAAAAATGAGAAAAACAGACTGATTGAGCCAAAATTACTAGTTGTTAAACGGTTCAGCTGAAAAAACGAAAGAACATTGTAAAAAATGTAGTTTTCATCAGCTATAGTGATTTGTTAGCACTTGGCGTAAAGTAACTTGTCAGTCTAATTTCTAAAAGGCTTTCTCAAAAAAAGGCAGCTTTTAATAGTAAATTCTGTCAAAAATGTAAAAAAAGCTTCGAAATTAAAGCATTTTTTAAAAAAATACATTGCTCAACTCATATTTACAGAACAGAGAGAAAAAGCTATTTAACTTACGTTATAAACTTGAAATCATCTAAACTTTGGCATAAAGTTACTTATTTCGTTTCCGACCAAGTTGAAAAAACTTAAAAAACATGGTTTTCTTTAAATCAAATTGCAAACTTTGTCATGCTTTTTCTTCAATCTTCAATTACAAAAAATATAGATAATTAGATTGTTTAAACAATTGTCATTATTATTTTTATTATTATCATTTCAATTCTTATGCATAGTTGTCAGTTCTTTTGTTGAAAAGAAAAAATGAATCTGTCACGTAATAAAAGTTTGTCGATTTTTTTCTGACCACTAGTTTAAATGCAGTGTTTTTTTCTTCCGTTCATTGACTGTTGAAAGTGCAGTCAATGTAAATTATAAAAAAAAAGGCTGATTTTTACACCTAACACTTGTTTTTGCTTACTAAGAGAGTTTTCAAAGCGATAAAGCCGGAAGTTTTCACAGACCTATTTTATGACTTCTAAAACTCTAACAAGGCCAGAGGTACACATTTCCAATGAACATATTGAAAAAAAAATTGATCTGTTTATTCCGTAATGGTAAGCTGAATTAGCTTTAAAAATGCGTTCGGTTGAACCTCAATAAAGATAGATTTTAGACAGAACTTTGAGGTGAAAAACAAAGAAGATATAATCACAGCTGTTACTTCAGCAGCGACAATGCATAAAGTCAAACATTTCCACACGGCTGTAAATTTGGCCAGATAATTAGTGGAACATTTCTTTCATTTTTCTAATATTTTACATCTGATATCTGATATTTACTCCGAACTCCTCGTTCAATACCGAGAAAAACAAAGAAACTTTTGGGATAATTGATAACCGTAATTATTCTCTATTATCAGATAAATATCTATCGGAATCCTAGAGCTACAAACAAGTCAGAATTCTAAGTTATCAGAGACGGTGTTATTTTGCTATAGGCTCCATTTGTTCTGTAAAAGAGGATATAGCTGAAATAACAAGGTGTAAAAAAGATATTCGAGAAAAAAAGGCAAACTTTATTAAAAAACCTTTCCGACAAATTCTCCTATCCAAAAGCTCAACTTTTTCAGATTTAACAAAGAATATTCATGAAGAAACTTGCATTCCTTCGACGTTTTTAAAAGAATTTCTGTTGCCAGAAATCACAAGAACATAGTGAATTCTGCAGCTAAAAACAGCAATCTCACCTCTTTTCCGCCTTTTATCTTTTCTTCTTTTCTGATTCCTCAAATTTTAGAGACGCTTTCTTAAAAAGTTTTTTTTCAGTGCTCAAATAAACTGGAAACTTCAATTTTCTCCACAGTTATTGGCAATCTCGCTTTTTAAATAAGTGGCCTTCAAAACCCTACAAAGTTGCCTGGAAGCGGATGGCATTAATGGTATCAACGTTAGTAAGTTTTCTGTGTTTGACTAAAAAGTAAAAATGGTTCTACTTGGTAATAAAATATATATATATATATAACAACAAAGTTCATATATATATATACAGCTATACGAATGAATTGAATTCTTGTAAATAATCTAAATTAGCTTGTGTGGAATATAATAGTTGTGCTGTCAAGTTATTCAGGCTTATTAAATTTAATTTGTTTTCAAAAAACATTGCTTTCAATATATATACAGCTGCATTATTAAATTAAATTTTTGTAAATAGTACCTCACTGACGTAAGTTAAGTGCAAGAAACTACCCACTTTCAAACTAGAAAAGACTAGTTCAAAGAGAATTGACTTCTTAGTCAAATCCTCAACTGAGTTAAGCAAAACAGATGGCTAAAGTTAAGAAGATAATAAACAAGTGAAATGTTGAGTAAATAATAAAATGCAGATCAGTCATTTGTAAATAATTTCATTTTGTCAAATTGGTTTAATTGTACTCTGCTTTTTTCAGTTTTATTAAAAAAAAATTTTTATTTAGTAGAATCTAGTAAGGTAAACAAGAAGAGCACAAGCTACAATTTCTGCCTTTACCAAGAGCTTCACAAACGATAAAAAAACAAAGGTTTTTTGTAGCGATCAGTGAATCAATCTGTCAACTCGCAAAGGCAATTAAATTCCAAATTTTGTAAGTTAAAAAAAAAAAACATAGTAAAATATAATTACCATAATTTAATTACGCTAAACTGCAAACTTTAAAAGTTTCTGATAAAAAACAGTAAAAACTTACTGAAGAAATCTGACCAGGCGTAATTTTGTTTGAAAAACCTTACTTGAAATCTAGTCGCTAATCATTTTATGGTTTTACAAGCCTAAAGCTTTCAAGACGTTATTTTCAAAAATAACGTCAGTTGTAAACACTAATTTCCTACGCTTTTGTAAGACATTTTTTAAACAGCAGGAATTCAGGTTCTTGTCGCTGCGGACAAAAGTTCAACCAGTAGAAACGCTTACCTGATAATTTGTAGAAAAAATTATTAAAGTTTTAACTAAAATTTGATTATAAACGAGAGCTGAGCTTGAGTCGAGATCAAACTATAGTCGCATACTGCTAAGCAGAAGAATGAGAAATTGTATAGAATATTGTAAATAGACTAACTCAAGTTGCTATCAAAGCTATTTTTTTTAGAATTTTTTTAAAGAGTATACGCGATAGATAACCGCGGTCGATCAATGTCAGAATGACAACCAATTTGATAAAATGCTTTGGTGCTGAAAAATTTTGATTTTGATAGTGTAATTAAAGATCGATTTAAGCAGCGGCAGAATTCATAACTTGTTTCGCAAAAAAGCGTTAAAAAAGCTTGTGTCAGTTTGAGGTGTTGTAGCTACCAAGGTGAAAAATTTTAACTTTTATTTTTTTTGATTACTAAAAAACTGTTTTTAATTTGAAAATGATTTTCAATGCTTATTAATTGCAAACAAGTGACATAAATTAGCAGCTGAAAACAACGCAACAAATCCATGTTTCGATTTTTTTATTGCTGGCATTAGTCCTGCTTTCAAGAAGTGGTTAACGTCTATTATGTTATATCGCAGTACTGTAAAAAACAACATCGCATCAAAATTTTATAGAGCTATCAAGAGAAGAGTAAGTTGACTGAATAAATATATCGAGCAAAAGGAGAAGGAGAAGCACCGACGTTCAAGTTCTAGTTGCAGTTGCATAGATGTAGTGGCATCCAATCATTCCTTTCTTACTGACAAACAGCAGATCATTCAGAGTATTCATTGTAACATTATTGATCGGGGAATCAAAAAGTCGAGCAGCAATAACTACCGGAATTTTCTGTAATTAGAATAAATTTTGATGTATAAGGCTAAACACTAATCTAACAAAACTTGTAAACATGAGTACACAGACTGGTAATTTAGAGAAAAAAGTCAAAGGCTTTTCCTCTTCCTTATGTACATAAGACATTGGCAACAGCGGTGGAAAATGGTCGCAAAAATTATCAATTCTTTTTGCAATTACTTTTAATGGCTTTTTAACTGTTTAGAAATATAGCGTAATTCTACACTGTACTTTGATAATAAAAGAGATTTCAGAGCTGAATTAACTTGAAAGTAGAAGAACCAGAAGTTTAATTGATCGAAAATAATAAAGCACAAGCACTTACCCCAGCTTTCGCTCTTGTGCTTATTACGATATCCATAATTTGCTGAGCGCGTCCTGTGTTCTACAAATTTGACATTTAATTTGACACTCCCTGACAATCAACTGGGTTTGAAAACTCTCTTAATATGATTTTGCTAGAGTAGACCAAAGAAATTGACGTGATTAAAAACGTGAAGCATAAAAAGAGAAACTGAGAAAATTTTAAATTGTTAGTAAACGTGAATCAACTGGTATTCTTCAAAAAAAAATTTTGTTAATGTTCTTCAAAACTGCTTGAGAGTTCGCCCCAACAGCTGAGACGGATACCTTGTCAAGAAGAGGGAGAAGTTCATGTTCATTCGGCAGGCAAACTTTCAAGGATATGTCGTCATATGAACCAGCAGGCATACCTTGACTATCGCACTGCGCTGGTGCTCCACTTTTGAATATTTTTACAAAGTTCTGGTACTGTCCAGCGTTGCTGCATATGTCACAATAAACGCTAAAATAAGTACCATTTTAAAAGCAGTTCATTTCATATCTTATCATTTTCGTATACTTCTACCATACAGCTAAGTAGCAACTAGTTTAATACGTTTTGTAAAATGGTTGAAGATGACAAGAGGAAAGTCTGATCATAAAGGGGTTTTGATAACCTTTCTACTGAAAATAACAACAGCAACAGCCTGGTTTAATCTTGAAGTTGCTGTCAAGCTTTCCTTTAACAAGCTATTTAATTACTTAAACAAAGAAGCGGGACTGAAACCGAATGAGATGCTTTTACATAAAATTTTTACCAAGAGCCGATTCCGCCACACCCGTTTGCGTCAGAATTGACGCAACGTTCTGGTTTACCGTGTATTCCAAATCGCACTTCCAGATGCACATAATACTTTTTAGAGCCGTCTAAACCAGGCGGCAACACCTTAATGCTTTTTAGTTGAGTAAACAAAAAAGGGAGTTTTTTTGATGATCTTTTTCATCCTTTCACAATCATTAATAACATTAAGTTGTTCTTCAAAATCCACGTTGAATGAAATTTTTTCGCTATATCAGTGGATAAGTGGAATTAAAATTACGAAATGTAAGTGAGATGACTTTCTTTTGTGAAAAGAGCATTTATTTTCCAAAAACGACCTTTTGCAGGAGAAATTTTATGTTGGTTTCTTACTACAATCACTCATTTACAAAGAAGTGATCTTAAAAAAAAATGAGGGAGAGGCTGAAAAGGATTTTCTGGAGTTTCTGGAGTTAAAACTTTCACGCGTTTCTTTTCCTAAATAATAATAAGGTCGGCGCTGCTTCAGTTTAGAGTGCCATCCAAACGAGAACACTTTTTTACTGTCAGCATTCTTCTAGCATAGGGTATTTACGACACCGTCTAATTCATTTATGATACTTTCAAACTTGTTGTTGTACGTATTTCTAATTTTATAAGATTTTAATTGTATAATTTTGACTGAGGGCTTAAGCTTTATGACGTTTTACAGCTTCCTCCACTCGTCAGTGTGTGAAATAAAGAATAGTGAATACGTTTTTCAAATATATGATGTTAAATTCATTTCACCAAGCGATTACTCCTCAGACTACTTAGTGAATCTCAAGAAAATATTTTGGTGGGTAAGTATTTCAGACGCGGTGGCGAAACTAAAGTTAAAAGCGGTTCTTTTCTGTTTATTGCGGTACATCTAGTTTTAAGTGTGCAACTAAATATGGACCGTACTGCGAAAAATTTGAGAGTATGATGTCGTAATCAAAGCCGGAGTGGTAACAAATTTACATCTGTTTGTGAATGCCGTGGGATATTCTGTTCTCCGGCAGAAAGGCATAAAATTTGTTTTCATAAAGGTCACTCTTTTCGTGAAAAAAATATTTTGGTGTTTATTTCTTTGTGGTTAAAAAAGCTTACTTTAGGATCAGTTATTTAAAAAAAAGGCAGTACAAAATTATGAGTGAAAAAAAGAGGCGATTTTTTTGGATATGCATCTAAAGTACGTGTCTTGGCATGTGTGTCTTAACAACTATTTTGAAGATCTCACGCAGTAGATCGATAAGCCTTAACCAAATCTGGTGAAAACTGTAAGTAGGAGGGTTGCATAAAAAGTAGGTTTGAATCTTTCAGATTTGTACAACTAAAAATAAAAAGACGCGATTACTATGTATCACACCACATGATACCGGAAGCCATGTTATATAATGTTATAAAGACTGAGGGGAAATTTTATAATGAAACCGTCAAAAAGTTTGTAAGAAAGAGATTTAAGAAAAAAACTATTGTAAATAAGTCAACGAGATAGAAAACCTCATAAACAGACTAATGGGCAAAGACCGTGTTTTGAGATGCTACCATTTGACCACAGCGGCATTTACAGATTAATTTCTTGGTTTCGTTTAATTTATAAAACTTAGTTAAGCTCCAATCTGAATTTTTTTTCTAGAATTTAGAAAATTTAGCCTTATGACTAGAAGCGGCCTTCAAGGCCAAACCGCCTGGTCACTGGCAACAGCGCTTCGAATTTCTGTTCAAGCTGTATCGCCTTTACACGTAGAATTACAAGGGAGAAGTGCCGAGGTTTTTTAAATTACGTATCCTTCGCAATGGTATTTGTCCGATAAAGGAGAAGCCAATTTCATCGTATATTAATGGTTCTCCTTTGCAAATTAACGTCTAATGTCGTTAGAAACTACCTCGGGATAAAACGCAGTCTCAAAGTAATGTTGAAATAAACAAGTACAAGAAAATCAAGCTGATCCTACGGAAAAATAGAAATAAAACTTCAGTGAGCTTTCATCATAAGGATCATGAAAAAAAATATATTTCCTCGTAACTAGGGTAATTTTTTCATTGGTGCATTATGACGTCACATTTGCTCCTCTGAAAAACCTTTCTTCTGTTTAACCAATGTACCCCCCATTCGGATTCTTCACTACGAAGGAACACTCGAAGCCGCATAACTTTTTCTTAAATCTCTTGCAGAACAAAATAGAATATAAAGCTGTAATGGCTATCTACTGCAAACCTAAACATAGGTATGGTTACTAACTGTACTATTCTTGACAAGCTGTTTGTCGCAAATCGTTTAGATAGATACACAGTTCGCCATGGTTCTCAGTGGCTTACACCGTGCTTTTTTCGCTTCGCTAATTGATAAAGTTTCTGCTTCTCGGTATTTTCAATGGTCCAGAGAAGCAGTAAGTTGCCCTTTAAGCTAGCACGAGCTTCCGGCAAATTATCAGAATTTTTTGCTTCCGTTGTGAAGTTAACAGAGTCTTCTGCTAATTGCTTTTCTGTTTTGTTGACTACATTTTCATATCCTCTGTGTTTTGCCCAAGAGAGTCACTTTTTTTGAAACAAATTTTTACGTGCAAATGACTTTCTTTCCCGTGAAAAGGCTGTTTTTGAAAAATGAGTTTACTTCTAGACAACAAAATTTTTTGTTACTTTACTAGTCTAATTACTGATTATTGTTTGAAGAATGGGAAATAACAGACCTCAACAGTGCCGCCTGACATCACAAAACATATTCTGCCTTGTTCGTCATTTTCTTGTTTAAATTCTGCTCCTGGTGATTTGTAGCTGGGGAATTTGATTCTCAGTTCAGACGGATTAGGACCTGTAAAATTGTTAAACTTTTTCTGTTTTCCATCTTTTGTCATTATTGATAGAGAATAGCAAAAAATTTCTAGAACATTCTTGCTTAAAAATAAACAATAGGAATTCGTGTTAGTTCGTATCGAATAAGTTCTGAGTAGCATCATCACATCCTTTTAATATTGTAAAACTGTTTTATTAATTTATAGTTTGTTGTAAATAAGGATTTGCCGCTATTTTTGTAAAAAATAGTTTGATAAATACGAAGATAAAAAAATAAAAGAAAGTTTACGGCTTTCTAGCTTAAGTAACTGAATTTTGATGGCTATACCTTTCTCTGCAGAACACGGAAAATGACGTTCAACTGCTACAGTCAAATCTGCCTTAACACGGCAAAAAATGATAGAAATAATAAAAATAAGTGGTGAAACAGAAGCCATTGGAAAGTGCTTGCAGTGACCGAAGTGACTAAAGCGTCTACAACCTACGATATCGTAGATGACCAGAGAACCAGTAAAAATCAAGTTCAGCTGCCGAAGTTTGAAAATCAAGCGTTGTTACCTTTTCTCTATGTTCCTCTTGTGGTAACAGTTCCTCGCTGATATACTCTCATTTCAAGCGTTCGAAATCAGCGTCGACCGGTTTCTGAGCGATAAAGACCATCAAACGTACGTTTGTGTATACGTTTTTTCTCTTAAATTTTTCGAATAATGTTTTTTACCGTCTAATGTCACTTTTTTTTTGCTTATCTATTCCTCATGTATTTTTGTAGAGAAAAAAACACTCAGTAATTAATAAAAAAAAAAAAAAGAAATATAAAAAAATTGCTGCGAATTTTCAGCGGTCTTATAGAGGGGTAAAGATTGAAGATCGGTTTTGAATGATTATTATCATGGTTTTTTCAAAAAATCAGTTATTTGAGAAACAAATTTGGTTATTGAACAGTTCAAAGATATTGCGTTAACACCTTGTTCACCGAAATCTTGAGAGCAGCTTTTTCGTAAAGTTCATCAACTTTTCCATTTCACATTTTTTCACAAGAAAAAGTTAAAAATGCACAGTATATAGTTGAGATGTTTTCAGCAGTTTCAAAACTGTTTCTTGCAGCAGTTATTATCTGCTAACAATCTGCAACGATTGTCAAGAATATTCAAAAAAACTATTATTGAAAACTGTCTGCGGTAGCACTAAGGGTTTTAATTTAGAACAGAACGTTTAAACGAATAAACAAGACTTAAATAAAGCAAGACCAACTGAACACTTTTTTATGAGCAAAGGAAGCATCATGAATAAATTGTTCTGTAATAGATGTTGATTTTTTTGAGCTCTGTTCAACTAATAAAGGTCTTATTTGTCTCCACTAATATTTCTTAGAGATTAACATAATCCGTGATTCAAAACAGTTTTCTTCGTAAAGTGCATATGAAATGGGGCACATTTGCAGTTTCTGTCCACAATCGGTAAATACGACAGCGCCTAAGGGTTGGAAAGATCTCTGAGTCAACGAAATTTTTAACGGATAATGTCGTTTTTTCAACTTTTCAAGATGATACCCCTAATTGACAACCAAAGACCACTTGAATTCAGCAAATAAAGAAGGACTAAAACAAATCTTTAACGGATTTTTAACTTTTTCACAATGACTATTAAAAAAATATGAAACATTTTTTAAGCAATTATTTCAGTATTAAAAGTGATTACGATAAATATTGTTTTAATTTAGGAAATAAATTTTGAAAAAACTGTCTATCAAACAAGATTTTCAGCAAATATTTTAGACTTTGACAACTGCATATGTTTATTAGACCCTTTTAATGTTTTTCGCCTTATTCGTTTAAAAGCTGCAGTTTTCTTTCAACCAGTTTGAATTCAGTAGCGCTTTTCAACTTCCTTTTTTTTTGTCATTAACGATGCTTACTGAATGAGTATTCCAGCAGCACTTGTAAGCTTTCAACGTAATAAATTTTACGAGTCTGACACAGCGCAGTACAAATGTCTCACTGCAGACAACTGGTAAATTTTTTAGCGATTTTTGTACATGACAATGTTATTCAAGTGTAATGACGAAAAACTGTGTCTATCGTCTATTTCCGATTTTGAAACTCTGAAAATAGCACATATTCTTTTAAAATTGAAAAAATGATTAGACTGCTTAAGTTTAAAAGTGCAGCAGACATTTCAAACTGTAATTGTGTAATTATTGAAATTTAACGTCAAAAAATACCATATCAATTGCATAAATCCAAATACAGTTTTGGGTAATCACTAAAAAAAAAAGGCTCAGAGAATGTGTGACGTAACAGTGTTTTTCAAAGTTATTTGGACACTTTGTCAAGAAAAAAACATCAAAGGTCAAATGTTTGACTGAGAAATTAAGACGCTTTTTACAACGAACAACTTTTGTCAAAATAATAAGTGTTCTTGAATTCTAACTTTTTTTAAAGGTCATTCTAATAGCCAAAAAACCATAGTAAAAAAAATTTTAACCAACAGAAAAAGTCAAAAAGATTTTTATTTAACACTGTCTGAACATGACTGACCTTCCTTTTATTCAGTCAACACATATCACTTTTTATCAACCAAATATGACTTCAAAACTACGAACGATTTTTGTGTATTTTGCTGTTATGTATCAAAAAATAGAAGCAACTTCTTTTGCGCTTTAGACATTGCAGTTTTTTGACTTTTTGCTCACTACGAATTAAAATCGACAATCATAAAAAGACACCGCTGAAAATCGAATAATTTTCATTTGCTTATTTTTCAAACAACACACTATTTAAAAGAAAATATTTGTTGAACAGTTAAAAAAATAAGCTTCTATTTTTAGTTTACCTGAAACGAGAAATAGATCGGATTGATAGAATTGTACGAAAATGTTGGAAAAAAGCTCTTCAGCATTTCAGCAAACATTTGATGCGGCAACTGCCACTCACTTTTTCAAACCATTTTTACCGCAAAAAAATTACTCCTTTTTTAATTACTACCATTTTCTTGTGCATCATACGTACGTACAGATGTTCAATGGCTTTCATCGGTAGATCGGTAACTTTGTAGTTAATTTGATTCTAGTTTTCAGAAATCACTGTAGCAAGCGATAACTAAAAAAAGTTGTACATTGAGTAAGTTGAAAGAACAAAAATAAACTTGGTGCAAAATTAAAGTACAAGATGAATTTGCAATCAAATTTAGGAGCACTCATTAGCAGACATTAAAGGTTATTTCTGCAGTGGATGTATGTCAATCAAGTCGTCTTGAAACTACATTGAAACCGTCCTAAACAAGAAAGTTGACTTTGAAGACGATACGACTATACAATTAACATCCATCTGAAGAGAAGGCAGTAACTGCTATGTCTGACGCATAAAAAAGTGTAAACTTTATTGTCAATTGTGGTTCTTTTAGACAATATATTACCTAAAAGTGAAAAACATTGGTTGAAAAATGTTTCTATTACGCATTTTAGAAAAAAGTAAAATGCTTTTGGCAATCAAACTTACTTTATTATCGGTTTTTTCTTAATTTTTTAATGTTTAGTTTTAACAGAATTAAACTTCTTAAATTGATTATTTTCATCTCATCGTTTCTTATTCATACGAGTAAAGTACAAATAAGGTTTTACAATTTATATTTTGTAGTATAATCGTCTAATTGAAATCTTCAAAAATTAACCTCTTACATTTTGCTTGCTTTTGTAAGTAATTTACATCAAAGTAAGAGAGGTAAAAACTAGAAAAACAAGATAGTGATTGTTGAAAAGGTTTACAGAATCGATTTCTTTTGTAAAAACAAAGAAGGGAATCATCTTTAATATCATACTGAACAGAACAAATGCTGGTGAAATGGCAAAACAGAAACTTTCTTGAATTCTCTATTTTTGGCCTTACTATCTTCAATTTACACCAACGCACATTGAAATTTTGGTTAACATAGCTGTGCAAGTCAATAAATTTTTCACTAACTGACTTAAGTAAACAATTTATGCATTAACTTCACAAAGTTTTTTTTCATCCTCTGCAAGCTCAGTTCTAAGTAAGTTACTAGTCTGATTCAGAGTACTAACAAAAAAAGGATTCTACTGAGTGATTCATTTTTTTTTTAAGAAGATTGACTGAAAAAGCGGTAGAGCATCTTGTGGAGCAACGGTTTTTTCACTTTCTGACATACAAATTATCAAACCAGAAGGTCTACACGTTATTTTAGGCACTTTTTCATATGCCAAATCATGCTTACCAAAAAAAGGCAATTAAACTTTTTTAAATAGCGAAGCATTATAAATCATTTCACATTATTAAGCAAGAAATTTCATCTTCGCCAATTATGGTAGCAATTTTCATAACACTTTACATTTCTTGTTTGATCTATACTCTCTGTCTCTCAGAAGTATCCTACTGCTGTGAAAGAAACCTGTATAAACCCAATAAAGAGCTCAACTTACAAAAACCATCACATTTCGGCTTTGAAAATCCTATTCGATTATTCGAATAGGAAACAGACTGACAGCTACCCGCCGCTTATTCATCTTCTAATTTTTTTGCAATGCGCAGTTTTCATCACAAATAATGACATGACTAAGAAAAAGTTGTTTCCAAAATGTTTAAAAAAGTTGCTGTAGGCTTCTTGAAATTCTTTTTTTTTTTCCACAAAAAGAGCTTAAAAACTTTCAAAAACTAGAAAGAAAGGTTGTCTAGTTTTCAATAATTTAAAAAAAAATGTATAGTTCATTTCTCAATTGGCAAATGACTTTCAAAAGCATACTATCATTT